AAATGACTCTGCACTTAAAAGTGGCAAACCCTCAGGAGGCTGGTGAACGAAGGTAGAAGAGAGATGACATGGTTCTGGACAAGGGCAGAAGCCGCAGGAATAAGGGATGAACACCTCTTTCAGAAGTCATCCAAATCTATGCAGTGGAGAAGAAAGTTCCCAAGTTCCCTACTGGAAAAAGAATGGTGGCATTAACTCAGTACATACAGAGTGAGCTGGTTTCAGAGAAACATTCATTTCCATTCCAGACAAAATGAATCACTTTCTACAAAACCTCAGGGTGAGAGGGCTAGTAAACATTTAGATAAGCTAATTCTGGCAGAGTGAATATACTGGATTTGGAAGTTGTGAACATATAGAAACATAATAAGCCAGCCAAATGTGGTGCACACCCGTAAGCCCAGCATCCTGGAAGCCTGGGGTAAGAGGACTGCAACCTTCTGTCTCAAAATTTAAAATTTTTAAAAGGAGTGGGCATATAGCTCAGTGCGAAGGCCCAGGGTAAAATTCCCAGAATCATTAAAAAAAAAAAAAGTAATAGATGAAAAACAGCAAATGTGTAAGTGAGGTAAATAGTGAGTTGAAAGAAGAAATCAGGAATACCAGGTTTATGGTAAAAAATATTATACTGGAGCCAAAAGGAGAAAAGTATTTTAGTCCTTATTTTACTTAATAACACAATAAATAGATACACACACCATAATCATCTATGTTGTGCACAAATGCTGCTATATCTGACAGAAGTCTAGGACGGAAGCTGCTCAGACCACCCCGTTTGGTGATTTCCAGGTACAATATCTGGTTAGCAACACAGAAAGCTGCCCAGAGGATTCAAACTCTAAGGGAAGGTCCAGAGGTGCAGCTAGTAATTAACTCCTTCCTCCCTGGCATTGAACTAAATCTCCTCATACACACAACTGCTGCTTTCCTCTTTCTTCAGTTTCATACTTTCTTCTATTTTGCTTATACTTTTGTCTATTTATTAATCAATAAGACAAAAATTGAACAATTCAGAAGTCATTAGTACCAATTTAATTTCCAAATCAGTATTTTTATATCAAGGAAGCTTTTCTAAGGTGTAATGTACATCTGGTAAATTTACCCCTCTGGCGTACAGATCAATGAATTTCGACAAACAAAAACAGCCAATCATTCCCACAACCAAGCACCTGCACCACCTTGAAAAGCATACTCCTGCCTCGTCACAGTCGATACCTTCCCCCATGGGCAGGCAGAATTCTACAATGCACGCACCCCTGGCCCCAGATTACATATGCTATTCCTTGGGGGCTATAAATACGACAAGATAGCAATATGGTATTGTCGATATGCTATGTTACATGGCACAGTTGACCTTAACATTTGGAGATTATTCAGTTGAGCCTAATCTAACCATGCGAGCCCTTAAAAGCAGACTGCTTTCTCTAGCTGGCGGCAGGAAAAAGTCAGAGGCTTTCACTTTTGAAGGATGATGAGGACGACTCAGGGTGCCACTGATGCTCTGAAGATGGGCAGGGCCACATGAGAAGGAATGAGGAAGGCCTTTAGGACAAGAGAAGAGATGCCGCTTGATAGCAAGCACAGAAATAAGCCCTAGTCCTAAAAGGAAATGAATGTGCCCAAAAACAAGTATGGAGGCAGAGTCTTCCCTTGGGCCTCCACACAGATAAGAAGCTAGCACATTTGACATGTTGACCTCAGTCTGGTGAGACCCAGAGGAGCTCGTCTGGACTGCTGCCCTACTGAAACTATGCAGGAACAAGCAGGTATTATTCCAAACAGTGAAATTTGCAGTAATTTGTACACAGTGACAGAAAACTAATACATTCAGCCCCAACAAACACCTATCTGCTTTCTGTCTCTATCATTTCAATTTTTTCCAAACAAATAAACTCACATAATCTTGTATGCATACTTGGGGTAATATTTATGAGTTTTGCCAATTTACTGCATCAATCAGCAGCTGTTCCTTTTTACTACTGAGTAATATTCTTTGGGTAGATGTATCAAAATGTATTCATTTACTAGGAGAAGCATTTTGCTTGTTTCCAGTTAGGGGTTATTATAAATAAAATAACTATGAACATTCAAATCCAAGTCTCTCTGTAGACATGTTTTCACTTCTTTTAGGTAAATACCTATGAATGGGGCTGCAGGGTTGTATGGTTTCTTCTACAACTGATTTTATAAGAAACTGCAAAGCCCCTTCCAAAATTTTCCATACTATACAATTCTTAATGCCTGCCACTCACATGTGAGTTACGACTACTCTACCTCTTCACACAATTGTTATTGTTAATCTTTGTAACTGAAGCTATTCAGGTGAGTATGTAGCAGTATCATATTATGGCTGTGATGTACCTTTCCATAAAGCTATTCATGTGGAGCAGCTATGCACATGCTTATGTACCACTCATCTTTTTCCGAGAAGTACAAGTTCAAATTTTCTATTCATTATTTCATTGGTTGTACATCTTGTTGACCTTTAAGAGTTCTCTAATTTTGAGGAAATGGTTTTAATTTTGATGAAGTTTAATTTTTCATTTAAAAAATTTTATGGGTTGTGACTTTTTTGTGTAAGAACCTTTGTCATTCATATGCTACCATTATGTGTCTTATTAGCAAAAGTACCTAAGAACTTATGTTAGGTGACTAGATAGCAAGCAGAGGAGATATAGTAAGTTGAAGTAATACAAAAGAAATCTTTTGTCACAGAAGTATCTTCATTTTTATAAAGTTGAAGGATTATAATAAGGGAAATATAGGTAAAGAATATATAGTCTGTGACATATAAAGGCCATTCTATAAGTTCAGGAATTGGAGAACATTATATTAGAAAACTTGTAAAACAAAGACAAAAAGTACAATAACAAAGAAAAATATTGTACCACTTCCAACAAGAACATTAGGGTTTAAGTAACTGTCACTGTTTTAAAAATGTTTTGCTCCATTTCTTTGTGTCCAGTAAATATCTGTACTGTATTTTGTGTTGCTTTTACCTACTTACTAGTTCCCACTGGTCACTAACTAGAGACAGAACACATGTGAACCCAGAACGTAGCATGAGCACTGACACAAATGTCTCACAGCAAACGATCTAGGGCAGTCTCCTGTGTGTGTGTGTGTGTGTGTGTGTGTGTGTTTGTGTGTGTTCCTTCCTTGCATCCCATGCCATAGCTTGGCCACAAAGAGGTCTGCTCTGAGATTTTGAAGTACTTTAGGTTGGTGATTACAAAACACAAGGCTGGGGACATTTTTGTACTTCCCTCCAAGTTTCTGGTTGTATGGAGTAGAATACAGAGCTTTAAAATATCCTCAACAAGGGCTATGGGAATGACTGAAGCTTGGAATATTCTGTCTAAGCTCACACTTCTGTGAGGTTAGCATCTAGACCATCTCATTGATCTTCCAGTTAAAGAAACTATTTCTCCCAGAGTCATCTGCAAATTTTACAACTGCTTCTTCCTATGTAATTCAGTGTAGATTTCAGTAAGGAGAGTTTTCTACACACATGGATACAAGCTCATCAGTTTGGAAGTGTTTTATTTCTTTAAAGAATAATTAATACTGTGCATATAATAAAAATGAGAAGGGCAGATTTTGGCAAGCATAGAAGAAGCCAAAAGAAGAGGAAAGACTGTAATCCACTTTTTACAATTACAATCTCCAAAGAAAATTATTTCAAAGCAGGAATAACCTAACATTTCCCTGCAATGACAAAGTCCACAATGAACTCTGCTTTGCCTACACTTTCTTCCCTTCTTAGCTGATGGCAGCTTCATCTTTCCAGTTATTCAGAACAAACGTGTGGGTGTTACCTTCGACACTTCTATCTCAGTCAAAACCCAACCTCTTCACCTCCCTGGTACAATCCTGGTATTAGGCATCATTATATTTTATCCAAACTGCTAGATTAGCCACCTTATTCTCTCTCGGCTTTTACCCTTGCCTGGCAGCTTACAGTCTACCCTCAAGTGGAGCCCAGGAGATCCTCCCCAAATTAAATCACATCATTCCTCTGCTCCTAACTTTGCTATGGGTCTTTATTACACCCAGATTAAGAATGTATTTATAGAGGCCTACCAGACTCTTGACTTAAACTAAGCAGGTTGCTATAACTAAATATCTTACTTTAAGTCATTTATGAATAGAAATGTATTGTTCACAGTTCTGGAGGGCAGAAAATCCAAGATAAAAGTGCCTAGTGAAGGCTCAAACGCTGCTGCAAAGATGGTGTCTTCTCGCAGTACCCTGTTATTGTTTCAGAGAACAAAAAGCTCCCTGAAGCCTCTTTCACAAAGGCACTATTATTATTCACAAGGGTTTTACCTTTATGACGGAATCACTCCCCAAAGCCCTACCTTTTAAGGCTATTAAAGTGAGAATTAGGCATCAATGTTTGAATTTTAGGGAGTTACAAACCTTCACAAAATTTTGGTCCTATGCTGTCTGCCTATTGCCCTCACCTCTCTAACCTCACCTCACCTCTACGTGAACTTCTGCTCTCTCCATTCCATGCATACTTCCCCCAAACCTCTTCTTGGTCATTCCTGAACACACACCATGCAAACTTGATCTTTATAGCCTTTGCAATGGTTATTCTCATCTGGAATGTATTTATCCTGATACATTCATGGCCTTGCTTCCCTCCCTTCATGATTACTTTGTGAAAGAAGGAAAGAAAGAAGGAAGGAAGGAAGGAAGGAAGGAAGGAAGGAAGGAA